ACCGACTATGAGACAGAGTTTTAATTTTAGCTGCAAAACCTCGCCTAGCTTTGTTTAAAATATATCGTTGTCTAAAAAATTTAATTAAAGTACGTACGCTCGGATGGTAAAAAGAGGGTCTGCAAATGGCCTAAATGAAATGGGGGCAGGTGGTCAATTATAAAAGTAAGAAGACACTAAATTAAAAAAAATATTATAAAATGTTAGGTAGGTAGGTTGAAAGCGTAGGTACTTTTAGGGAGGTGGAGGTTACTCAAAAAAGCGTATAGCAAAATGTGGAAAGGATTGGGGGGGGGGGGATTAGGGTAGAAACAAAAGCGTATGTATTTTATGGAGGACACCTAATGGTTGCATAGTAAATCTTTAAATTTAATTAAAACACGCTACAAGGCAAAAAGTTCAAAGAGTTTGCATCTACTTAAAACTCGGTTTCATTTTTTTAAATTTCATGTTTATGCCGCGACATTCTAATGCATTTCATATTTTCTCATAACTCTATTTTCTTTGATTTTCGCAAACGGATCAAAATATTAAAACTGTGTAATTTTGTAGGCACATTTCAAGAAATTAAGATATTCTTTATTACACCAAATTGGAAGTTTTATTCTGCTATTGTTTAAACTATATATTAACTCCATACTGTGTACCTTGTACTATGTCTTTTCTGTTTAAGAAATTGACAACTAATTATTCAGAAAATTTTTGCTTTTAAAATTAACTTTGGTTAGGGCTAAAATAAATCTTTAGGAAACAAAAAACATTATTTAACTTTTTAATTACAATATTTTAATATTCTCTAAAAATCAAAATAATAAAATAAAGTAAATAAAATAAAAAACAAAAACAATGTTTAAAAAACATCTAAAAATAACTCTAATAAAGTGTTCAAACTCTGATAAAGTGTTGTAAAGAATAGTTAAATCAAATTATTCTATTTATGCTTGGTATGGTTTCAAGCAAGAAAATTTCATGTAACATATACAAGGGTTGGTCTTATAGAGATTACATGAAACTTTGGGCAAATAGAAAGCTTTATTTCCCACCCAATCCATGTTTTGTTGCTACAATGCTGTAATAAAAAAACTGTGTACATATCATATAGTGATCTGATTCAATCATACAGTGAATAATTATGTAATTCAAAAACACGGCTTGAAAAAGTAAATAAAAGTTTGAAACTCTTCAGTCACCTGTGGAAAATTAACCAGCAAATAGCTAGCAAATAGCTTTTTATCTTTATAATTTATATTTATAAACTACTTGCTCTTCTTAATTTATGTTAATTTATTCTTGTTATTTACTTGCTCGATCCTTCAACTTCTGCAGCAATTGAAAGATATTTTCCAGATAGGACTGATGCCTCAAACTTTTCAAAGTAAAAAACTTTTTAAAGCAAAAATATAACAACAATTTTAGTATTGGAAATGCAGCTGTTATGGGTGACATGAAACCTTTATTTTTGAGAAAACTAGCCCAATGGATTGCGAAATAGCAATTATCTCAAATTTTAAACACTCAAAAGTTTATATTAAGTATACAAACATCAGAAGCTTTGGGGACCACTTTAAGACGCACAGCTTCACTTATTGATGATTTAATTCAAGAAGGGTATTACTTTTTTTATTATCACGCTTGCAAACTGATCGATTAGAACTAAGATTTTCAAAGTATTGTCAAATGAGTGGTGGCAGATTTTTAATTCGTTTGCGTGAATTTGAGACGTCTGAGCACATTTTAACTTTAGAAACTTAACTTAAAGTGCCAGTCTGGGAAGAAGATGTTAGAAAAGAGAGTTATATTATCTTTACTTAAATTATTTGATGATAAATTGTAAGAAATGTTACGAAGTATTGAAGAATGCAGTTTAGATTTAGAGAGCTAAAATCTCTCTGAATCAAAACTGCATTCTTCTACAGTTATTACAGTTACTACAGTTATTTGATCAAATGTGGTGTTTGCAAATCTTTTCTGAATCTGGTGTGCTACAATGCCAATATTTAGAAAAACTTTCTCTGGGTGGATTGATTTTACCAGCTATTGATCTTTCACATTATGTTGATAAAGCATTTGCAATATTAGATACTGCGATTTTGCTTATAAGAGACTCAACTTTTTCTGATCGATATACTACAGAACAGGTACCTAGATGAAATGATTATGCTACTTTATTCTTATGCGATGAACATCAAATTATTGGTGTAAAATTTGTAAATCGCGTTGGTGTAAATATTTATTTTAACTATGAACAGAAATAATTTTTTATGAAATTCGAAAGAACAGTGTTTAGGATTTTAAATACAGACAAAGAAAAAGATTAAAGCTGAAATAGTTAAGTAATAATCAATCAAGCTGAACTGAATCGAAGCTGCTAATGCTAAATTATGAAGCTGAAATATCACTTTTAATGTAAATTCTTCGTTTATCGTTAGTTTTTTGTTTATTATTCTATATATCTTATTAACACTTTTTTTTTTAAACATCTTCGCCTCCAACAAAGCCTTGTTGCAAGCAACCACTAATTAGAGTTGAAAGTTACTGGAAGAAAAAAGATGAGGATCGTAGAGCAAGATAACGATTGACAGGCAACTTAAAAGATTGCAAATTATATGAATAAGGAAAGCAAAATTAAGGAAGAGAGTTCCAAAAAATTGATGTTTAAGGAAAAAAGCAAGAGGAATTCTAGGAAAAAAGCAAGAAAAAAATTAAAAAAAAAAAAAAGAGTTTTTGGAGCACTTAGGAACAGTCACAGAGAAAAGAGGTGGAATTACAGACTTGCCCTTATTATTGATACTATTAAAGATTCTCCAGAAGTCACGAGAGCCTAATTTTTGTGCTGAAATACGAGATTTCATGACCTGAGAATAGAGGGCTTTGCCATTAGGCAAAACCTTTTTACAATGGATCCTAGCAGTAATTAACAGACGTCTGTTTTCTGGAGAATTGTTTAGCTGATAGATATGGTTTTGATTGGGAATTGCAGTAGCACAATGTGAGGAAAACCATGAAGAAGAGTGAGGCTTGACTTGGAATCGTCGAGAGGGAATAAAGATTTCCATGTCAGCCTGAATCCACGAAGTGTTTTACGAAGTACATTTGTCAACAGGAAGACGAAAGATTTCTACCCAAGGGCCGTTATGAAGAAAGTCACGGAAAAAGTCCCAGTAGATGTATATATTAAGAAATTAAGATATTACAAATATTTAAAGATATTATTACAAATATTTTAAATTAATTAGTTTACTACTGAAACAAAAAAGTGGTTCAAAGTAAACTGTTTAAATAAAAAAGTAAACTGTTTAAATAAAAAAGTAAACTGTTTAAATAAAAAAGTCTATTCAAATTTTAATTTTATTGAACATATTTCAAATAAATATAATCATTTAAAATTAAAAATGCTTGCTTTGAACAAAAAGTAGTTCAAAGTAAACTAAAAATAAAAACTGTTTAAATAAAAAAGTAAACTGTTTAAATAAAAAGTCTGTTTAAATTTTAATTTTATTGAACATATTTCAAATAAATATAATCATTTAAAATTAAAAATGCTTGCTTTGAACAAAAAGTGATTTAAAGTAAAAGGTATAGAAAAAAAAGTTAAACCTTTAACTTATAAAAATAATTCCAGTTTAAAAATAGAAAAAATTACTCTTTAGAAAAAACAAAATTAAGGGTTCACAGATATGTTTACACGTTTAAACTATAATCATATTTATTAACTAATAAAATTCTCCTTAATTTAACGTTAGACCTAATACAAATTTACAGTGAAAGCCAATTATTTTTAATAGAGTCTAGAATAACAAAAAAAGCATTTAACAAATTTTATGAACCAGGGGTTGGCAATTTTTTGAGACGGAAGAGCTAAAAGTTACAATATACATAATTTTTCATTTTACAAAGAGCTACCAATATCTTTATTTTAATATTATATTTAGGGATATGGAGTCCTGAAAAGGACTCCGGATTTGAATATCACAAAAAGATTGCATCTTCTTTTTTTTTTTATTTAGGAGCTCTAATAATATAAAAACCCTTATGGATTACTATTGGTAAGACTTTTACTTAGAGGAACAATCTCTTATTAAACCCGAAGTCCTTCGGTATAATGGCGGCTAGAACTCTGGGACTCCGGGCATTAAAACAATATGTTCCAAGTTTTTAAATTTCATGAGTTTTTTTATTTAGCAGATCATAAATCAACCAACATGGTCAGAGTTTTTGGACACCAGAGACCAGTAAAAAACAGAGATATAAAACCGGAGCACTTTTGGGACACCGCATCTCTGATTATACTATGCATGTCAAGATAATAGTATTTTGATGTCAAAATGCAGCTAAAGAGCTTTATCTGGACATCGAAAAATTTCAAGAGGCTTGCGAGCTGCAGGTTGTACCCCTTGTATAAACGTTTAAACAATGTAATGTAGACAATGTACTTACATGAATCTTTTTTGAATGCACAGCAGACTGAAACAACAATAACTTTAAAGAAATAATAGAGTTACGAGTCTTGTGTGTAGTTATTTAGTTCTGTATGTCGGGTCTTTTTAAGCACAAAACCGTTTTTAAAAAGTAAGAATATAAATTACAGGATAGTAATTTTAATACTGAAGTTTGAGCGACTATTTAACACAGGACTGCAAACGCTGCCTAATTTTTCTTTTTTTAAATAGTTAAGTTTATAAAAAAAAGTAACATGTTCAAAAAAATATAAAGTGTTGATGTCAACTTTTTTTGACCTCCCCCCTCCCCCTTGTCAACAAATCGGCAAAAAAAATACCGTACCCCCCCATCACCCTATTTTGTTGACGTAATTAATGGACAGGACTGAGATGCGATTGTTTTTGTTTGACGTCAGAGCGATTTAAACCTAAACACTGAAAGATTTTTTTATCATTGTTTCGATTAAAGATTAAAAAAAATTAATATTTAAAATACTGCCCCCAACTCCCTTTCAGAAGGCTTGAGGGGGATCTAATTGCATATGTTCAGTATTTTATCACTATTCCTTGGATATTAGATACTCAGTATCCACATGTTTATATTATCAGTACTATACTAATGTTGTAAACTCGTGGATTAATGTTTTTGGATAAAAATAAGAAAGTTGGGATTAATAATTCCAATTTATGCTCTGTGTTTGAGAAAGTAGTGAAGATTAGGTTAAGTATTCTAAAATTGGAAGATTAAAAAGGGAAGATGAAAACGTTTGTTGCCAAGCTAAAGATCAAGCACAAAAAAACCTTCTCTTTATTTAAGGAACGTGAAAAAAATGTCTGGCGTTAGAACTTCTAACTTAACTTAATCTTCACTACTTTCTCAGTTGGAGCAGGTCTTGCATACAGTTCTAATTTAGAACTGTATGCATGGCCTGCTCCTCCTTCATTAAGAACAGGAAGATCCGCTACACCATGAGCTGATAGCTTGGAAAAAACATAAAGGAGAAAAGTATTCAGGTATATTAAAGTATACATTCTATGCTTTTGGTTGTTAATTTTATATAGAGTATTACATTTTTTCTTAAATATAAAATATTTTTTTTGTTTAATTGGTGACCATTGTGCAGAAGAACTTGCCTGTGCTGCTGCATTAAATAGTAAATCAAGTCCTGGAAAGGCAGACTTTTCAACAGTTTAAAATAATTTGTCAAAGATACAACTCTAGCCAGAAAAAATATTGAAAATACAAAACCTTATCCAGTAACAATGAAAGCAGAAGAGGCCCTTTAGATGAAAATTTTAAGATAAATTGTGATCTCAGTGATTCACGATATCAAGTGCTTAGAAACATTTCACTAAAACAGAGCACTGAGATATACTCCTCAATCAAAGTGATTTTTGATAAAAAATCTAAGTTTTATCCAGAAAATTTAGTAATTTCAGAAACATTTGCCAAGTCTTTTGTTCAGTCAAAAGTGAAATACACTTTATCAAGAATTATGAACATATCTAATACCAAATGTCTAGATGGATCAGAAACAGTTGGAAAATTATTATAAAATTAATCTAAAAGCTAGAATAGGTAGGACCTCATCTCAAAGTGTATACAATCAAAGGTTTGATGATACAAATTTCTCAACTGGAATTGAAAATAAGCAGTTCTTGTTCCAAACTCCAATTTCTCATTTGAAACTGGAAATAAAGGAAACCACTGTATAGTAGAACCAAAAGCCTTCAAGCACCAACTTTTGCAGTCTATTCTCCTGCAATACCAAAAAAACAAACAAAGAAGTCAACAAGAGCTGAATAATTAGATGTCAGGTAGCAAATAGAAATTCTTCAAGATCTTGAACTTGAAATCCCCTATTCTAACCAGAAAGCAAAGTTAGAAATGAAAATTGAGATGACCATAATGAACTGCAAGGCAGTAAATGCTATCAGATACAAACTCAAAACAATATTTGTTCTACCAAGCCTAGTTATATGAACAAGCTGGATAGAAAAAAGAGAAAACTAATTGGATAGAAATACTAGAGAAAAAGTATGCAATGAGCAAGCATTAGCTTTAGAACTATTCACACTTCATTGTTTGATACATATTTCTTAATTCATTTTACACTTAGGGTATAAAATTGATACTAAAAGATATCAGTCTTGGTTTCCAGAAGATAAGCTGTCTATAAAAGCTCAAAAGAGAAAATCAAGAAAGTTTAGAGAGGAGTTAAACTTAGTGGGTGATGCTCCCCAGCAGCAATTTGGAAATACCAATACATAAAATACAGAAAGAAAAGAATTTCTTGAAGCAGAATCTTTCTATGAAATAAAAGGAGTTATTATAGACATCATTGTAAGGCTGAGAAACATACTAAATGCAGTTTTCATTAGATTCCACCTAAACCTGGATGCTTTTAAAGCATACTGCTTTAAAACTTCAGAGGTGGTAGTTGAAACATATTGTTGGTGCATCATACTACCCATACTTCACAAGGTTCTGGAGCATGGATTTCTAATTGATAAACATTTGGATCTTCCCATTAGGGTCTATTTTGAGGGGGCTAAAGAAGCACAAAATAAGGTCATAAGAAACATTATTAATGTGATGCGAAATACCTAGAATAAATATAATGCAAAACCAACTCCATTATCTACTTATAAAGAAGAATCTTTAATAATCTAACCCCAAGACAATTGCTGGTCTTAACTTTGATCCTGATGTACAGGACATCCTCAGGGAAGATAAATAGTTTTTTTTTCTAATAAATGTTATTTTTAAAAATTTAGACTTTTTCTTGTAAGAATTCATCAAATCAAATTCATTTTTTTCCTTAAAAAAATATTCCTGCAGTGATTTCTAGAATCTAAAAATTAAAAAAAAAGTGCACTTAAAATAGTTTATATAAAAATAAATTCCACATCTTGAAAGCTGTGAAATTACTCATTTTTTATATTTATTACTGAATTGGGACAATAATTTGATAAATATGTTCATTACTTTACAAAATTAAAGGTTTGCTCGCTTTTCGGCCATTTTACTTCTCTGTGCCTCTCTACAAAATATTTGTAAAAAAATTAAATTTTTTGAGTTTGTATTTAAAACTAGTAGTTTTATAAATAAACACAATAAAAGTTAAAACAAGATTTATATTTGTTTTAGTCCCTAGAATTTATATAGTTTTTGATTTTTAATTTTTTTTCAAGCCCAAGTTACTAGTTTTGTAAACAAGATGACTTTTTAGGAGCTGGTAAATCAAGCCTTCTAAATATACTTGCTGGAAGAAGAACTAAAGGTGTTGTTTTGAACAATGGCTCAATTACAATAAATGGAGAAAACTATTCCAAATTTCATCGAAGAAAAATAGGATATGTAACACAAGAAGACATCTTTTTTTCAAATCTAACTATAAGGCAATCATTAGAAGTAAGAAGCTATTTTTTTTTATGTAAATATATAATTGTAGCAATAAAGATTAAATATTTATCACGGGTACCAATTGAAATAATTATTAAGTTATTTGGCGCGTTAGAAACACTTTTGCCGCAATTATAACATTGTTGAAGCACATGTTAAGGTGGTTTTCTGGTTTTATTATTTTGTTATATTTTACTTGAAGTATATGGGTAATTGTCAAATTTCCCATATACTTCAATATATATGTCAAATGTTCCAGAAATTTTTAAAAATGTCCCCCTATGTCTTAGATTTTGCTGATTTTCATACAGTTAAGAGTACTTGGTAAAATAAGAGTTCCTTAAAAATTTTAGTCTCTGGCTCCAAGAAGATCCTAAAAAATTTTACTTTTAACAAATGTGGTAATGCCCCTCATGTCCCCTAAGAATTACAACGCTTATTTAGAGGTTTCAAGTTACATAACTTGAAAAATATTTTTACTTATATTATTTTTACTTAAAAGTTTGTACTTTGCTATTTTCAGGGGTGGCAAATTCACTAAAAGTAAAAAATTATTTTTGAGTACCTGTATTTATTAATTTAAATAAATTTAGGATTTTTTATATACTTGCTTTTGATGCTCAAGAAATTCATGTGGCCTTGATGCTATCAAAAAATATATAATACACATCATTCTATATTTATTGATCTTTTAAAAAATACAAAGGTTTTGATCTGCAAGTATATGGATTTACATATGTAGATAATGGGGCATGGTCCCCGCAAAGTGTTGCTATTGATTTTTCACTACCTTCCAGACTAGCTGGAGGTCTGAAACTTTTCGCATTTTTGTAGTGCCAATGAGCATGCATGTTAAAGTTGTTTTCAGGGACCAAAACACCTATGAGCAAAAAGGGGAGGCTCGGTCCACTTTTTTGTAACGAAATCTTGTGATAGATTTTTCACTACTTTTCAGACAAACTGGAACTCTGAAACTTTCAGCATTTGTGTAGTCCTGATGAGTTTGTGTTAAAATTGTTTCCAGGGTACAGCCTTATATGGGCCATTACCAGAGTGCCCATAAGTCTGGGGCACTGGAGGTCATGACCCACTTTTTTCAAATAATTTTTTTTTTTTTTTGCATGTTTAATAAAGTAATTGCATTTTTAGTAAAGATAACTTTAAAAATATTGTCTTCAGAAAACTTTCTTTGTTTAAATTTGTTCTATTTGGTTTTTGATTATTATGCATTTAACAATCTTTCTTAAAATGTTTTAAGAAAGTGCATTTGTTTATAAGATTTTTTGCAGGTATATGGACTAAATACAGCCATCCATCTGTAATAATAATAATTTTAACAGGATTTTATATTGTATAATTTTTTTGAATTGAAAAGATAACAGTAAAAAAAAAGATAGAACAACATTGATCTGTCAGAGAGCAACAATTGAACAAATTTATGTTATCAGTGACAATAAGCAAGTTAACAGCTCATTTCTACATTGCAAAATGTCAAGTAAGATATCTATGGCAACAAAACGAAAATTTGGCAAAGACTGCTTATTGTCTTACATGGTTTTGCAGAAAACTACACATCAGTGATTTAAAATAAAATCTAAAGTTACCATAGGTGCCAAATTTAATGCATGCTACACCCCATTGCCCTCTATTTATTAAACAAAAATGACCAGCCTAAAGAAAAATTATTTTGCTTCATGTCAGAAGATAATGAACATGAAATAAGTTTGAAAATCATCCTAATATTTCAAAAATTCTTTATTTTTCAAATGGTTGTGCTGCACAGTATAAAAACCAAAAAACCTTTACAATATCTATCTCCATAAAGATGATTTTGACGTTAATGTAGAGTGGACATTTTTGTTACAAGTCATGGTAAGTCACCATGAGATGGTATTAGTGGTACTGTAAAATGATTAACTGCAAATGCAAGTCTACAATGCTTCATAAATGACCAGATATTAAATTGAATAAAATGCTTGACTGCTGTGCAAAAAATATTTAAGGGTTTATTTTTTTCAAAATTGAAAAAGAAAGACTGACAGAATTGCACACCATTTTCAAAAAACGTTTTCATCTAAGTAGAACAATTCCTGGAATTAGGAGCTATCATCAATTTAAACCAGAATCTATAGATACTATTAGTTTTAAACAAACAAGTGAAGATTTTAATATAACAGCCTTTTTTTTCTGACAGGCTTTTTCTCATAGTTATTGTAATGTTTTACCCTAAATAGGTGTTTTTGGTATTGCAAGATTAAGTTATAGGTTGGTTATAGGGGTGTCATGGATAACATTTTTTTGTTATTCGATCTGATATCGAATACCTGGGTATTTGAAAATTATCCGGCGGGATAATGTAATTCAAATCCTAAAATATATATTTTTTTTATGACAGAATATTACCGTGATAAACAATAGGAGGCAGGCTTTTCTTTTCGTTTTCTTTTTCTGATATTCAAAGATTTAACCTAATCAGTCCAATTAACATCAATACATTCAAAATTAACATTAGTGCATTGAAATTTGGTGAATTTGTTATGTGTAAATGTTATAGTAGACGTTATAGTAACATTTATGCAAAAAAAATTTAAAAACAATGTTTTCAAAGTTATCTTTACTTTATTAAAAATGCAAAAAAATAAAAAAATGAAAAAATTAAAACAATTTTAGCATGCACATTCATTAGCACTACAGAAATGCTAAAATTTTCAGAGCTCCAGCTAGTCTTAAATGTAGTGGAAAATCAATTGCAATATTTCACTACAAAAAAGTGGGGACCATGCCCCATTATCCTCATTTGTAAATCCATTTACTTGCAGATCAAAATCTTTATATTTTTTGAAAGATCAATTAATATAGAATAATGTGTAGTAATTTTTTTTTATATTATCAAGGCCACATGGGTTTCTTGAACATTAAAAACAGATTATACAAAAAAGTGCTCAAACTTATTTAAACTGATAATTACAGGTACTTAATAATAATTTTTTAAATTTCTGATCATTTCATTGGATTCGTTACCTTCAATAATAGCCAGTTACAAGTTTTAAAGTGAAAATATTTTTAAAGTTATGTGACTTGAAACCTCTAAATACAACCCAGGGAACATGTCCTATTGGGGTCCATATGGCTTTACCCAAATGGGCCCTATGTGGGCTTTATATAGTGGGCCAAAAATGGGTCGCATGTTGGCTAACCCTTGAATATAAAACATTTTAAAATGTTTTGTATTCAAAGGCTATTATATATTATAAAAAATCCCACATGGGGCCTATTTAGGGCCCATATATGAAATTAAAAAAGTATTATATTCCATCTTATTTTCTAAATTTAAATGCCATCCGATCGTGCATGCTATTATATGAGGTACTCCGCTAGGCAATTAGCTGGAGGACTATAAATCACAATACTGCTCTTATTTTATGAAAACCCCTTTACATTTCTCAAATGTAATTATGTCTCAAAGCTTTTCTCAAATTTAAAAAAAATCCACAAGCAAAAATGTAAATAAAATGACAGGTCTTGAAGAGGACCATTTTATATTGGTCATTTAACTTAAAGTTTAAGTATACTTATTTAAATATGACTATTACCTTTACTATATAATTATTTAAATATTTGTTATATTTATTAATGTATATTACTGTTTACCTTCCCTGCAAACATGACCTATTTGGATCCATATGGCTTTGCCCAAATGGGCTCTATGTGGGTTTTATGTATGGGCCCAAAATGGGTCCCATGTATAACCTTGTACCCCTTGAATACAAAATTTTGTATTCAAGAGCTAACTTACATGGGGCCCATTTTGGGCCCATATATAAAACCCAACTAGAGTCCACTTGGGAAAACCCACATGGGCCCCAATAGGACATGTTTGCTGAGATTTTGTATTCAAGGGCTAGCCCACTTGAGGCCCATTTAGGGCCCATATATGGAGTTAAAAAAGCGTTAAATTCCATCTTATTTTATAAATTGAAATGCCATCTGATCATGCATGCGATGGCATGAGGTACTCCACTAGGCAATTAGCTGGAGGAGTATAAATCACAATACTGAACTTACTTTATAAAAATCCCTTTACGTTTCTCAAATGTAATTACATCTCAAGCTTTTCTCAAAATTCAAATTAACTCTTTTTCGAAAAATCTTCTTTTTATTTAAAGTCTAACCATTTTTAAGACTCTGTAATAGTGCTATCAATGTCATGTATTAGTGGTAGTAAAAGAGTTTTAAATTGTATTTGAAAATTATTTTTTTTATGTATAAAAAGTGTATACACTATTTGAGTTTTTATAAATCCACAAGCAAAAATGTAAATAAAATGACACGTCTTGAAGAGGTCTTTGTATAGTTCAAGTTTTAATAAAACCTAATAAAAAAGGTTTAAATTTACTTATTTATATAAATTATTACATTTACTATTTTATTATTTAAATTAATAATCTCTTGGTAAGAGCGCTCGCTTTGTAAGCAAGCGCTCCGGATTCGACTCCCACCACGTCCCTGGAAGTACCACGCTCAACTTTATTTCTCTGCGCAGTGGTCTTGCTTGTCAAGGTTCGTGTTTCGGAGTTAAAGAGTTGAGAGAGGTTTGTACCACAATTTACAAAAAAAAAAAAAAAAAAATGAGTAGCCTCCTTGACTGTAGTGGCCCCCTCGGGCCTTGGGGAGGTGAATTCTAGGTTATTATATATCATTAGGAAGAGCATTAATTCAATACTTTAAAATTGAAAATTGAAAAAATGATCAAAACTGATTTTTTTATATATGGATTTGTTAAAGAAACTTTGGTCAAAATAAAGTTTTTATTATTTAAAATTAATATGACTTGGTCAATTTTTATCTAAATGCTTTTAACATGGTATTAAGAGATAAATGTAAGAGTAACCTACAAATTTATATTGGCTTTTAGCAATAGGGCATGTCTGGGGGCTTAAGGGGCACTCAAGAACCATCTTTACCACCAATAAATACAGATTTTATTCATAAAAAAGTGTTGTTTCTTTAATAAAATTAATATTTTTATATGCAAGATTTGTAATTTGCTTTCAGACCACTCCAAAATATGAGAGGTTCTTCTAAGACTTAAGGTAGACTTAAGTTCTCAATCTTTAGTTTTTGATTAAGATATTAAACCCCATTAATAATATTTTATAGCAATCAATGTTAATGATAAATAGAGAGTCATCTACCAAAAAAAGTGCAAGCTCCACTACTAGGAGCCTGTACATTTTTTGATAGATGGCTCCAAGCATAATAGCAGGTTTTTTTTTTTTTCTGTAATGATCAATTTTATTAAGTTTGTAGGAAAAATCAGACTCCCGGACAGCATGAAATGGGATGAAAAACTCACTATTGTTGACAAAGTGATTGACGATCTTGGACTACGTAAATGTGAAAACACTGGTGATGATAAAATAATTTTATAAATTTCAACACTTTTAGTTATTTGCAAAATATAACACTCATATTAGTCAGTAATTTTTCCTAATTATATAATAATTTATATTCAAATTATTTAGTTTTAGGAGGTGATTTTTATACAAAAGGATGTTCAGGGGGTACAATAGTTTTTTTGATACTTATGTCAATTTATGGTTATGTCATTTTTTAAAATTTTAACAAGTGCTTTTAAAAATTTTTTTTTATCTTTATACTATTTGCATTTATTCATTTTTTGTTTTAAATTTTTTTTCATTGACAGGTGAAAGAAAACGATGCAGTATTGCTGTAGAACTAATAACTAACCCTGCATGCATAATTTTAGATGTAGGTTTTAAATAAATTTTTTTTTTGATTAATATTAGTTTGTCATGATAAAAATAGTCTATAATTCTTAATATAACATCTAAATTTTAAAAATACAAATAAAGATTTTAACAAAATGTCTTAATGATCTTATTGTCGGAACGTTTTTAAAGCATCAAAATCTTATATATATATATATATACATATATATATATATATATATATATATATATATATATATATATATATATATATATATATATATATATATATATATATATATATATATATATATATATATATATATATATATATATATATATATATATATATATATATTTATATATTTATATATTTATATATTTATATATATATATATATATATATATATATATATATATATATATATATATATATATATATATATATATATATATATATATTTATATATTTATATATTTATATATATATATATATATATATATATATATATATATATATATATATATATATATATATATATATATATATATATATATATATATATATATATATATATATATATATATATATATATATATATATATGGATCATTCTTCAAAAAAGTAGCAATATACTGTCCCCACTAATTTTTTTTTAAGTTAATACTATTTTTACTTTAAACCGGTGCAAAAAACAAATAATCAGCTAATACAATGTTAAACTGATGAAAACCAATCCAAAATAGCATTTTCAGTGAATAAATAATGTTCCACAGACTGTGGCGTGTCATGTCCGTGGAATGTCACCACCTAGACTTTTTGCTAATCCCAAGAAGTTTAAACCTTGTTGGTAGTACTTTACTTTTATTTTAATATATAATAAATAATCAAGAATACATTAAAATTAGAGTTGACATAATATTTTCCTCAAAACATATTTTTAAAGTAACTTTTATGTAATTGAAGCACTTGTCACACCTTAAATGTCACATCTGTGGATAGAGTTATTAATTCCAAAAAAAAGCTGTAGGAGGCAGCAGTAGTTCTCTATTTTGCTGTTCTAGCTAAACTACCAGACATTTTTATTAATGAGTAATAGTGGGGGAATTTTTGGTGTAGTTGTTTAGTGCTGATAAGTGTTAAAGTTTCAAAAGTTGAATTTGTTAGTCTTTATTTGTCACATCTGTGGCAAACATACCCATGGTAAATAATTTTACTTTTTTATAAGCAATACTTTTATTTAATAGCAATTACCTAGGCATATTTACTCCTTAGGGAACAGAGTCCTACCCTCAAAACATAGCACCTCTTTTAGGGTTTTCCCTTCAATTTATCATGTCTGTGGATGTCACGTCTGTGGATGTCACGCCTGTGGATGTCACGTCTGTGGATGTCACGTCTGTGGATGTCACGTCTGTGGAGTACAGAAAGCAACAGAAGTGACACACATGGAACGGATGTGACAACAAATGACAATTTTACCTGTACCTGAATTTTTTAATGCCTATTTTAAGGATTTTTAACATTTAAAAACTTTGCTCATTTTGCTAAATAGTTATTATTGAAAAGATAAATGTTTCTATCCAGATAGTTATAAGTTTTTCTTTACTTACAATTAACAAAAATGGGAAAGACAGAAAAAACTAGAGAATTGAAAAAGCTAAGTATGTGGGAAGCAAGGGAGAAGATGAAAGCTGAAAACCCTGACAAATATGAAGAACAAAAACAGAAAGATAGAGAAAGAAAAAAAGCAACACGAAAGAAAATTCATAAACTTTCAGAAAAGGATAAAAGATCAGTAAGAAAAGGTTGGAAAGAAAGGACCAAGAGAAGTCGGGAAATGAAAAAGAAGAGACAGCAACTTATTGAATGTTTGTCTACACCACCTGAGAGCCCAACTGTAAATATTCCTATCGAAAATGAAATAGACATAAGTGTACCTCCTGGTCCAATCAGGAATCTAGTTCCATAAAAAGAAGTGGGCTAAAAGTTCGTAGAAAATATAGAGATGGGTTGAAGAAAAAAATCTAAAAATTAGAAGAAAAAAACAATCTTACTTCAAGATGTATCTTACCATTCAACTAGAACCAGCTCTCAAATGTACTGAAAAATAACAACTTGAAATGGAAGTTAGAAACTTTTTAGAAAAAGATAGTCCCAGTAGGCTTACTGCTGGGAAAAAAGAAACAATAACAAGAAACAAAGTGAAAAAAAAAAAAAAAGACTTTTATATAATACAATGTTAAATTTGTGGAATGAGTTCAAACAAACAACTAGTTCAAGTCAACGTCTTATAGCACATTTTGCATATTAAGACTCTTTAGGCTTGTTCAACCAGACTTTTGTAAACAAGATACTTGTCTATGTATTGACCATGAGAATTTTTCTTTGATTCTTGAAAAGTTGTATAGTCTTAAGATGTTGGCATATAAATATCCTACTGACTTACTAAAAAGTATCACATGTGACAGCGAGCTGAGAGAGTCATGCCTGGAAAGGAAATTTGGAGTATGCATTTTAAACAAAAAATAATTTGTAAAGAATTTGAAAATGATATGAATGAAAAAGTAATATTTCCACAATGGTCTAAAAAAAGTGTTGATAAAATGAAGACATGTTTTAAAACTGTAAAAGAAGAGTTAACATTAACTAAAAAAGAACAGTTTTTACATTTTATTAACAACTTACTGGAAAAGTTTATGAAGCATGTATGCATTATAAAACACCAGTACAAAGCTATATCAGAAATAAAAAATAACTTAGGGCCTAGGGATATTTTCAATTCTTGTGACTTTTCAGAAAATTACAATTGCAAATACTCAAAAGAAATTCAATCACTCCACTTTAACGGATCAAGAAACCAAGTGTCAATCCATACAGTTATGGCATACTATTGTAGTATTTCTGAAAACAAAATAAAGACAAAATTTTACTGTACAATTTCAAATAGCAGGCGTCATGACTTTGTTGGAGTCATGACGCCTTTGTTGTGCGCATTTAAAGCCTGTTATTAATGACTTAAAAGAAAAGCTGCCTTCATTAAAACAGTTTATTTCCTTTGTGATAGCGCTTCTCAACAGTACCGAAACAAGTCCATGTTCTATTTGGTTGGTACTTTTTTTCAAAAAGAGTTTGGAGCTAAAACTATAAGGTAACATTTCACAGTAAAGGGGCATGGAAAAGGTGCATCTGATGGAATTAGAGGTTGTATTAAAAGAACCGCAGACAGTTTGATTGGGCAAAGGAAAGATATTCCTAATATTAATTATTTGGTTGAAGAAATAAAAGAAAAGTGTCCAAGTATAACCATCTATACTATTAACAACACAGATTTCAATCTCTATGAGAAATGTGTACCAGAAAACCTAACAACTTTCAAGGGGACTTTACAAGTTCATGAGGTGGTTTGGAGAAAGAAATATTGTATATGAGAAGGCTGACATGCACTATATGTGACAATGATACAAAATGCAAACACTATAGTATTGGAGAAGTACTAATCCCTGTGAATTTTTTGACATATCTTCATCTTCGTATCCTTTTAATGTATAGCTTTTAGAAACTTAAGTTTATATTGAATATTGTGTTATATTAAACATAATATTGAATATTATATTTTCTTATATTGAATATTGCAAACCTTTGCATTTCTTAAATGTTCTTTAGTTATTTAGTCAGTAAAAATGTTTGAATTATATTTAGTTTTTCAGTTACTCTAGTATTTTCATTAAAGAATATCGTTTTCCACAAGACTTACCATTCAAAAACATTTGCTAATTTACTCACTAGTAATACTTAAAATTTTGTAAAAACTTGTAGCTTGTACTATTTTATGTCAACTATTACAAACTGCTGATTAAAGATGGTTATTATTTTTGTAAATTACCTGACAGACACTTATAGCTGTTACAGCATAAACCAATACTATTCATTATGTCACAAAGTTTTTAATTTTTTTTTTGTAAACTAACTTTTAACGAGGTGTGCAGATACTTTAAAATGATTAAATATACTTAAAGCTATAGCAGCAAAAAATTTGGTTCGGAAATTTTAATATTTAAATTTTATAAAAATATTGATTGAAAATGTTACTTTTCAGAAGAATACCCATATATATATATATATATATATATATATATATATATATATATATATATATATATATATATATATATATATATATATATATATATATATATATATATATATATGTATATATATATATATATATATATATATATATATATATATATATATATATATATATATATATATATATATATATATATATAGACACACACTCACTCGCACGCACATACACACACAAAATCTATAGAAAGAATTGTATTAGTAAAATATTTTTTGTTGAATGAAATTTTTTCTTTAAATTTTATGATTTTTTTAAATGGACAAAGGAAATTGATCTATTATTATATCCCAGAAATAAGGGACATTGGTAAGCTATATGAATTTTTAAAGGAAGGTTTAAGAAAAGAATATAATACAAATATTACATAGTTCCACAAACTGATTTCTTGATAAAGGAATACTTTAAAACATACTTTAACCTTTTCTTTTCGCTTACTAACATCATTAAAATGTTTCAAAAAAAAAAACAAATAAGTTATAGACAAGGTTATTGTTAACAACAGCTTTAATATTTATTTATCCAAGTTCCATATCAAGCATATTCATTTATTTGTTGATTGCTCAACTTACCCCTCACATTTGCTCCACTTATTCCATTGGGACAAGTTGAGCAGCTTGGTAAATTTTTTTCTGTTTTTTTGTTTTTGTTTTTAAGTGCCCCAAGTAGCCCTAATGGTCTTGTCATAGAGCACTGCAGAAGAGCTTTTAACTAGAAAGTTGATGCCTTTTTTCCTTACCAATAACATAAAATATGGCCATAACTTGCTTCGAAACTTTTGAACCTTTTTCTTGACCAATTTTTAGGAGATAAAATATATTTTCAATAGTGAAAAAGTTATGTAATTACTGAATAATTAATGACCATTCATGATTTAGATTGCTTAATTAACGCCGCTCAACTAAAAGTTTCTTACGAGTTTCCTTAAATTTGTTAATTTGTAATATGTAAGGGAAAATTAAGAAACCCAGATGTGTAAAACAAGTCTAAAATACATATTTAAAAAATGTATATTAGTACGTTTTTTAGACACTTTAAATAGGTTTTGTGTTAACTGGTCACATATTTATTAAACTCTTGATAATATAAGTTTCTTATTAAAAAGTAATATAGTACTAAAAGATTCTTGAGATTTTCTTGTACTAGTTTTTTATATATGAAAGGTTTTTTATATATAAAAAGCATGTGTAGGGTAAGACAGAGCAAGATGGCAAATGTTTTGAAAATTCAGAGTTTTTGCAAAACTGTAAGTTATTAGGCAATAACACATTTTCAATATGTTAGTTTTATCATAATACCATTTAAAAGCAGTAATTGAAACCAAGGAATTTTTTTAAGCACAAAAAAGCAAACAAACATTTTAATATAAAATTATGTAAACGATATTTAAAAAAACAAATTGGTGTTTAAAAATACAAGGTATAAATACATTTTTATTTCCACCAAATAATTAAAACTGTGTTTATGCAGTTTCATTTCCACTAAAAACATGGTGGAAATGAAAGTTTATTTATACATTGTATTTTTAAGTAACATTCTTAACCTTATGAGATGTAACATTGTAACTTGTGGTTTTTTACAATTTTTTAAAATTTTTGCTTTTTGATATTAACATATATATACATAAACACATAAATCTATATAAATAAATATATAAATAAATGTATATATAAATGTATAATATATATATATATTATATATATATATATATATATATATATATATATATATATATATATATATATATATATATATATATATATATATATATATATATATATATATATATTATATATATCTATATCAGATATATATATATATATATATATATATATATATATATATATATATATATATATATATATATATATATATATATATATATATATATTATATATATATCTATATCTATAAGCTCTATCAGACTGACGCTCCAATGTTGCCTCACATGAATGGTGATCTTGTGCAGTTGATTAGTGTATTCTTAGGATGTTCATTAAATCTGAAACTATTGAGGCTACCTCAAAACTTACCAAAATTGATCTGCAAAATAAAAAGAACCATTTAAAACCCAGTGAAATTGATATTGGGTTTGCTGCTGAATTATCACTGTCAAAGCTCAGAAAAAATGATGCAGTTATTTTGAAGGATATGAAAGAATTTAAAATTCAATGCATGCACATTTTGATTTCAGCTGCTGAAAAGTTATTTAAAAGATGTCCCCTTGATTCCGTGATTGTTAACACAAGTACTTGTTTGCTTCCAAATTTTTATGCTCAGATCACACCTGAAAAAAATAAGAATCAAATGAAAATATTGCTGCATCATCTTATTTTACTTGGAATATTAACTGCTTCTTATTCTGACAAAGTTATCAGCCAGTTCTCAAAGTTTATTTCATCAGAATCTGCTATGAATCAGGATGTTTTCATTAGTTATGATCGAAATAATAAACGTCTTGATGATTTTTACTTCAAAAACATTGACATAAAAAAGTATCCAGAGTTGTCATCTGTCATTAAGTTGGTTTTGACTCTGAGTCATGGACAGGCATTAGTTGAACGGGAGTTTAGTGTCAATAAGGATGTGGTTACCAATAATATATCAACAGATGGCATTGTTAAATGGCGACTTGTGCGTGATTTCATGCTTACGAACAACCTCAACCCCCACTCTGTCCAGATTACATCAGAAATGAAAGTTGCCTTTAAATCTGCACATCAAAAATACCAGATCATGCTTGAGGAAGAGAAGTCAAAGAATAAAAAACATGCAATGTTAGATCAGAAAGCCATTATTTTGTCTGAAATTGAAGAGCTAAAATCTAAAATCGGTTTCCTTACAAAAACTTCATTGATGCTAGAAAAAGAGTTTGTCTTAACTGTGGAACAAGCGGAAAAAGAAAACAATTTATCATTGGTCAGCAAAGCGAATGCTTTAAAAAGGAAAAGTGAGGAGAAAATGAAAGACGTAGCTAAGTTGCAGAAAACATTATTGATATTAGAAGAGAAGAGAAAGAAACTGAATTAACAATAGTTGCTTTTTGACAATTTGTTTGTTTATATAAAATATTATTTATGTTGACATTTATGCAAATATGGCTAATTAAAAAACTTTAATTATATTTTCAATATAAGATTTTGCTTAAAAAATATATGCAATTTAAAATTAATTAAAAGTTTTTTTTTAATGTTTCTAAGCATGTTTTGTTATACTGTGCTATTTTTATCTGGAGGTATTATTGAATTAGCGAAGGTACAGCTACAAATAGTGATAAAAAACGACTAACCCAAAGTAGTCTTTGTTATAGACCAAGTATTGCTCAAAATGTTGAAAGATATCTACATAGACGTTTTAGTTTTTTTTTTGTTAGTGAAAAATAATTATATATAAAATATTTTATGTACATAATATTTAGATTTTTTAAGAAGCTCATCTGAAACTTCTTATTGTTTATTCTTAGTCATCCTTAATAATAAGATCCATACTAATATGCATAATAAAATCTATACTAACATCCAACTTAACTAATAGCTAAGTTTTATAAGTTTTTTCATTTTAAGCATGTACATTTTAGAAATTTCATTACAGTAGTAATTTTTAACATTTTATAAAAACCATTGCAAATGTTAAAAATGGTCAGGGAAATTCATCTGATTTTTCAAAAAAGTCAGGGAAAAGTCAGGGAAAAGTCAGGGAAATTTTAATAAATATGTGGCTACGAACCCTGTATATATATATATATATATATATATATATATATATATATATATATATATATATATATATATATATATATATATATATAATATATATATATATATATATATATATATATATATATATATTTTTTTTAAAGAATAGTAAGTAAATATAATAATAGTATGATAAAAATACAGGCAATATAAAACAATTATAAAAAAAATAGTAATTTTAACTAATTTTAATATTATTAAAAACTTATAATAGCATACTTCAACACAAAATATTCCTTGACATTTTATATATATGTTTGTTTGTGGGTTTATTAAATTTTGAAAAATGTGTAACATAACAAGTGTTCAATGATAAGTGTAATTTTTCTTTGTTAATTTAATAGCAATAGCAAGTATAACTTTTAGATTCTACTTTTAAAAATTTAAAATCAGATTTAAAAATTTTGATCCTAATTAGGATCAAAATTTTTAAATCTGTTTCTAAAAAAACTAAGTAGAATTATTATGGTTAATTATTAATTATAAAAAAACTAGGTAGAATTGTTACGGTTAGGGTGGTGTGGGGTTTTAAAACCCCACACCACCCTAACCGTAATAGTTCACCAATAACATCTATGTGCTTTGATGTGTCTTGAATTTGAACCATAACAAAAATACGTCACAAATATATATTTTATTGCATTACATGTATTTTTGTTACACTTTTACAAGTATTTTTGAAACTTGTAAAAGTGTAACAAATTAAGATGTTAAGGTAAGGTAAAAGAAAAATCTGCAACGTTTACAAATTTTTACTTGTTATCAACAAAAAGTTAAATGTCAAGACTAAATAAATATTCATTGAAAATCGGTCTTGAAAATTAGAAAAAATTATTTCAGTCATCGAAAAAAACAAAGTTTCAGTGTAAATAGGTTTTAAAAATTGTCGAACTATTGTAAATAAACTATTAGTAATTTACTCTAGTAAATTTCTCTTTAAAGTATAAAACTTATATGAGCATAATAAATTCTATTGAAATGATAAAACAGCTGTTAGAAACTGATAAAGCAGCTGTTAGAAAATGTGCATTTGACCACAAGCCACTCTAGAATTGAATAGTTTTAAAACTATTTAATTCTAACTTGGCTTGCGGTCTAATGTGCATATTCTAACAGCTGTTTTATCAATTTTTTTTTTAAGTTACATTACGTTATTTTGAAATTTTTAAAAATGCTGACTTATTAATTAATTGTGACTTAACATAACATTAAAAAAAAATCTGTATTTGAGACATATTTTAATTGCGCCTTTTTTTACGTTACGTTACGTCGCAATTGGTTACATTTTTAAAAGGTTAATTGACAAAAAGGCCAATTAAGGATTGAAACTTTAATTATTTTTTGTGACAAAGTAAACAATTGAGACAAAGTTATTTAAAATAAAAAATAAAGTAAAGATGGTAACTAGCAATACAACAATGATAAACGATTATTTACTGCCTTATCAAGTTTATTTAATTAATATTTTATTAAAAATAAGAGAATGAAACCTTGTTACCAATTGTAACCAATTGAGACATTATGAAACTAGTAAAACGTTATAGTGGTACTCTGTTTGCCATCTTGCCCCATTCTCCTCTATACTTATTTTAAATCAAGTTTGATTAATGTTAAGTTGACTGATATTTATATGCAAATTATCATAAAATTTAAATTTATTTATATTATGCGATTTAAAAAAATTTATTAAAAAAAATTGACAAGCATTTTAAGTTACAAACTAAAAAGATGAAAAGCTTTACTAATTTTTTAGAATGGCTTTTATATAGTTTAAAAACCTTTTATTTTATATGAAATTTTAGGAGCCAACTACTGGTTTAGATTCTTCTACAGCATTTAATCTTATGAATACTCTCAAAAATCTTGCTGAAAAGGAAAAGCGTGCAATCTGTTTGACAATCCACCAGCCTTCCAGTCAAGTGTTTCATATGTTTGACAAGCTGATGTTACTATGCAATGGAACGGTAGTTTTTTTATTTATAAATTGTCCAAATTTAAATGGAATTTGTGTAAACGCTGTTTCTTAATTTTTTTTTAAAGTTGTTTTTTTGTTTTGTTTTTACATGCTTTAATAATTATATTTTTATATTTAAGGTAATGTTTTTTGGGAAAAACTCTTATGTTTTGCCATTTTTTGAATCAATTGGATTGCCTGTCTACCCAAATTGGAATCCTGCAGACTTTTTTAGTAATCTTTTAGTTAAAATCTTTTCTAAAAATATTTAATGTAGAATAATAATAAAATAATTATCACTAATTTCAACACATTAAAATGTTGGTTTTACCAAGGACATACTTATACATTACTTACCAAATAGCAAGCCATGGAAGGCGCATGGAACACTGGTCCTGTAACATTTAAGTTCTTTTGCCTTATTTGTAAGGACTATGATTTTAAGCGTTTTTATTATTTTATTAATTTTAGTTTAATTTAGAAAAACATTCAAAAACTAAATTATTAAAATAAGTTGAAGACTGCTTAGATTCTATTATAAATTGATCTAGAGTGGTTTTCTTTTTATTAGCAACGCCTGCATTAATTATTTTATAAATACAGTTCACCTCATTAAATTATTATGATCTTTGTGTTAAATTTTAGAACAGCAAAATTCTTATTTATGAATTTCAACATGGCCAGTTTATTTGTGAATTTCAACATGGCCAGTTTTTTGAATTAGGATCATCAAATTTGCAGATTTGTTTTAAACAAAAAGGTTAAATTTAGGGAGAATGTAAAGTGTATAAATTCTTGAGGCTCCAATTACACATCGATGAGGATTACAAGGCACAGTTTTATTAGCTCTGAATTCAATTCAACATGCATGTTTATGTTAACTGTAAAGTATTTTTAGTTATGCTTAATTGGTATTTGTCAAAGCAATTTTGGAGTAGGCAAGGTAATTATATAAAGTATAAAACCTATTAATGTTTTAATATTTTGAAATAGTTAAGCATTTAATTGCAATATTTTTTGAGTTGATTTTTTCAAAACTATATATGTAAAAATTGCAATGCAAATTTCACCCCTAAAGGTTTACTGATAAATCTTTTTGAATAATGTTATTGATCACAATATTTTTAGTGCAATATTTATATCAATTTTACATGCTTTATGAATTGAAGTAAATTTAGTTTCATCTGAATTTAATTAAAGTTTGCTATTAAATAAACCATTAATTTTGTTTATTTTGCTATTACCTATTTTATATATCAACATCAAATAAAACAGATTAGATAAAACAGATAAAATATAGAAGATTAGATGCGAAACCATTCTTTTTTTTATTGAGTTTATTTTTGCCATTTACTATAAATTGCATTTATAGTAAATGGCAATTTTATATATATATATATATAATATATATATATATATATATATATATATATATATATATATATATATATATATATATATATATATATATATATATATATATATATTATATATATATATATATATATATATATATATATAAATATATATATATATATATATATAGAGAGGAGAGTTGCAACCCAAAAAAAAACGGTGTGTTTTTTTTAAAAAAAACACGTTTTTTTTTGCAAAAAAAACAGACTGGTTCTAAAAACATGTTTTTTATAGTTTTTTTGCTTTTTTTTTAGTATTTATTAAATTTTAGATAATAATAATACTTGAAACAGTTCCAGTGCCTTAAACCTACAAATACAAATGTTTTCTATTTAATAAAATGCATATTAACTTATATAATAGCTGTTACAAACTAATCACCAATATTAAAAAAAAAACAGTATTAAATATTTAAAAAAGTAATTTTTTAAATAAATCTCAAAAAAACTATACTATTAGCTACTAGTTGATTGTAAGTATAATACTACTGAATGAAGGAAATAAAAAATGTTATTTTAGCAGTGTTATTTCATTCATAAAAATGAATGAAATAACACTGCATTGCAAAATACAAAAATGAACCAACTGCTAAATAAAATTTACTTTAATGTTTTATTTACTTTTGTATATTACTTTTTTAAATTTTTAATATTTAATTTCTTTATTTTATTTTAAATTGCAATTAGATAGCTAAAATTTTATTTATTCAAACAATATTCAAGTAAATAAAAATAACACAATGATTAAATTTGTCTAATGAAAAAACATTTATATTAAACAATTTGTAATCTATTAATTATTTTTAATTAAAAAAAAAAAAAAGAAATCTAAAAAAAAATATGCCAGGCAGAAAGAAATGTTTTGTAGCTACATGTTCAATGAGGCACCTTTAGAATCTGGAGGTTCTAAAATTCAACAAGTTATATGCAAATTTTGCAGCTTAAAGCTATCAAAAAACGGCACTAGTATGACTGAGCACATTGCAAAATGTATGAAATGTGGCGATCAAATAAAAAACAAATATTTGAACGATATGCTTTTTAAACAGAAGAAAGTTCAAACTGAACTAATGATGAAGAAGATATTCCTGAAAACTTACTATTCAAGATATGAAAAAAGAGAAAAAAATATGTTTATCATCTGCTATTCACAAGTTCCAATTGAGTCTTTCTTTCCAACACCAAGCTGTTTTGGAAACCAAAGTAGGTCTACAACCCCTAAGTTTGGAGACTGTAAGGCAAATAAAACCAAATCAGATAAGCCTCCCTTAAAACGATTGTATTCTTTAACAAGAGTTCCATTCACAACTCAGAAAAATAAAAATTGCATCCTACATTTTAGGAGAGTACAAGAGTTTAGAGTCAGCAAGTTATCAAGCGACTCTGAAGAATATGGATTTGACTTTACAATAGAAGACCTTAATGAACAAGAAAGCCAGAATACAGAATCTGTTATTAATTAAAAATAAATCTTTTAAATGATGTACTATATATTTACCATATATCATGTTATTAATATATTATATTACATTTATAATAAAAATAAAAATTAAATAAAAGTAAAAAATTTTTTTTTTATCTAAAAAACAAAAAAAACCATAAAAAAACACAAAAAACACAAAAAAAAACATGTTTTTTTTGCAAAAAAAAACACAATTAAAAAAACGGTTTTTTTGCAACTCTATATATATATATATATATATATATATATATATATATATATATATATATATATATATATATATATATATATATATATATATATATATATATATATATATATATATATATATATATATATATATATATATATATAGATATATATATATATATATATATATATATATATATATATATATATATATATATATATATATATATATATATATATATACAATAATAATATTGCTAATGTGTGGAAGAGCACTTTCAAAAATTGTATAACTCAACTAACATTAAAAATATTATCTCAACTTTATAATAGAAATGAAACTTTCCAATGAAAACTCTGATTTTATTTTGAGTTGCATTGATATATACTACAATAATAAATCAAAAACTAGAAAAAGCAGCTGGACCTGATGACCTTTGTATGGAATCTTTTATGTACAATGGAAGTAGACTGCAGCTTTTTATTATTATTTTTTTTAAATTTATGCATTAAATATGGTTATTTACCATCTAAGTTTTTTGAGGCCACAATTATTCCACTAGTAAAATCTAAAATGGCTGATTTAGCAGATGTAAACAACTATAGAGCCATAGCTGTTTCCTCTGCTATGTCAAAAATATTCAAGAGTCTTTTATTACAGAAAATCATTATGTACAACATTGATAAAAATGATGATTACCAATTTGGCTTCGAACAAAATCACTCAACAATGTCATGCTCAAACTATGTAATACTATGACTGTGTAATACTGTACATCTAGGGAAAGCCATTTATTTGCTTGTTTTACAGACTTTAATAAATATTTTATACCATTTTTAACAAATATATTTTAACTGATGATGACTATATATAGTCGAAACATGTATTGAATAATAAAATGTTTTAAATAAAATTAAAAAATTTGTCTTATTTTTAAAAGTAATATATATATAATATATATATATATATATATATATATATATATAATATATATATATAT